TGAAAGCAAAAAAAAAAAAAAAAAAGACAATATTAGTGTTAAGAGTGCAAGTTACCCACATGTTGGGTTTTTTTCAGGTAATATAGGTCACAGAACAGAAGTCTTACTTCTCAGTAATTCATTAACTTAGGTGTTATGAGGACAGGCACCTCTGAAGACCATAGAAGGCAGGCTTCCTATCATGCCATCAGTTGTTTTTAGTTGATTTAAGTATATCTGTTTAGATAGCTATCTTAAGACCCTCTTCCACTTTACTTGGGAGCCAAAGCTGTTAAAAACAAGGGGGAAAAATGTGTCAACTACTTACAGAGTAATTTATACTCCCTCTGGGCCAAATCCTGCAATACACCAGTATATCCTGATGTGGGCTTATTGAATAGTTTCATTGTGTGATTTTTTTTTCATAATTTTACAGAATCCCTCTATTGTGTTGAGTGGTTTTTTCCTGTACAAAAGCTACACAATTCATTATTAAAAACTTAATTTTGTTTACTGAGGAGAGTAAAGAAAAGGGCTTTCTAGAAACAACCACTACCTAAAAAAAATCGTTTAATAATTGACCTGTCTTGTAAAGTAAAAAGGTAACTCTGAGTTGAACAGATTTTTTGTTTCTCTCTCTTCTGTTAGAAATGTGATGATCAAAATTTTGGTGAATGCTGTAGAATGTTCCTGTGTGTGATTTGGAGCTGTCTGGGTTTATGCCTATGTAAAGCTTTATAGATTGTTTCATTCTGGTACCCAATTTAGATCATAAAGAATGTAATAAAGTTGAACATCATAAAGTTAAGTAAAGGATATAAATAACTTTATGGAAAAACAGAGTTAAATTCAAGTAGTGAAATAGCTTTTTATTACCACTGACAGATTTTTAGAAGCCTTATCAAATGCTTGAATTAAGATTTTTTTATTGACTTTAATGAAAGAGATCCTGGGAGGCATTACTGTCTTGTGTCAGCAGTACTGATAAAGAAGTTGGAAATAAATGTGAAGAGGTTACTAATTTTGGAGGCATTGGTGCTTGGCTGTTTTCTGTATCATGACAAAAGGTTTTACTTTATTTGTTTTGAAAAGTATACTGGGCTTTAGGGCTGTGCCTAATGGGGAAGATCTTTACACATTATGTTTCATCTCTATCAGTGCATCAAAGGAAGCAAGGTTTGATAAATAGTAAAACCAGAAAACTGCTACTTTATGCAACTGCCTACACTGAAGGAGACAAGAGAAATCATTCTCCTGTTGACTCAAGTAGTTTGGTCACCTCTCCAGGGACACTTTCTGTGGGTGATTCTGAATGCAGATGTCGTTCGATTTACAAGTGAGATTTTCGCTCAGCAGGAGAACAATATCAGCTTTTGTGTAACTGGGGCCTCTCTGCGCTACTGGCTTTGTCTGCATCTGTCTGTCCTGCGTCAGATAGTTCTCTAGGCTGTCTTTTGGCTGTTAATTTAAGAAGTTTGTTACATTATTTTCATAGATGGAATCGTTAAGGTAAGTGTTGTTATTTCTGCAAGTATATCTGTGATAGAAGCCTTGTGAAGTTTTAAGAAAGTTTGTTTTACCTTTTACTGGCATAACACATTACACATGTACCATTTTAATTGATTGAGATTAAA